ACGTCGGGACGTCGTCAGGGTCGACAATTTGGCAGGTAGCAGTCTCTAGCCTCTCAGGCCAAGTGCAGGGGCTGACGGACCTGCGGCTAGCCGCCATAGGAAAGGGATGTTGGTGCCCTGAGTCGCCTTTCCCTTGAGGGCGGCAGCACGCTTGGTGACCCTTTCGGCTCTGGGGGTGTTGCGCGGCACCAGCTCCTCGTTCAGGTAAGAAGTGCCCGTTTCAGCACCACGATGCATGTTGCCCCGCAGTGTCACGATGCCTATTGCCCCCCCGTTCCCCGCGCTGCTTCCAGCGTCGCCAGGGGCCCTAATTGATGTTGCCCTCTCTCACGCTCGTTTCAGCGTCGCCAGGGACTGTAACTCGCCAACTCTCGCGCTCCTGCCCGCGTTTGCCAAGGGGCCTGAAGTATTGTGGAAGTATGATGCCCTCCCTCACGCCTCATGCGACGCGGCACGGGGCTGCTGCAATGATTGCCCTCCCCCCCACGCCCCCTGCAACGGAGATGGAATGCACACGGTGACCCACGCGACTCTGGGTGTCTCCTCTCCCCCCAGCCCTGACAGCAAGGCAAGACGGCCACGGCCCCTCGTCGTGCTATGTATGCTTCGCATTATTCCCCCGCTCCAATCGCAAGGCCAGGAAGTTTAGGTATGCTCCGCTTATTCCCTCGCTCCTACCGAAAGGTCAGGAAGTCTCTTCTGTATTATCCTCGTATTCCCTCGCTCGTATCGCAAGGCCAGGAAGACCTTTTTCTTGATTATCTACAGGACATGGTCTCCGTACAGTACCGTGCCGCGTGGGTGGTTCTTTGTACCGTTACAAGTCTTAATTTTACCCGGTGCGAACTATGGAACGGGAGGCGGAAAGACTACCCCGGCGAAACGGGATATGCTGCGGCGGGTTTGTGTTGCGAGTTGGGGTTAAAGCCTTAGAGATGTCGGTCTCGCTGCGAGAGACCACAATGCGTTTGCCCTCGAAATGCTAGATTCTGCAACACCACTACCCCCGTGCTACCGCCTACCAAGGTGTTTCAGGTGTTAGGCGAGTTGGGCCGTGATTATCCGCAACAAACAACAGTTCTCGAATCGGCCCGCATGCTTCCGAAATGGTGTGCTCAGCAAGAAGCAGACGCTGAAATGCGGGATGAATGCATCGGAGGGGCCAGGACCGTGTACGGCGACCAATCAGGTCGTGCCGGTCACAACCTACGTCACACCGTGCTCTAAACAATGGACACAACCCAAAACGCCCAACTCAAAGAAAAGACAAACCAAAACTGACCATGTCGTAGCATGCAAAGTAGCGGCGCACTATGTACAAAAGGCGTGATCAATACGCTCTCCCGCACAATGCCAGGGGGGCCCTCTCATGTCGGGGCAAGGGGCCACCTTCCTCTTTCGTCCCAAAAGGTTGGAAACCAACAGAGTCGACAGCAGTGGTGCCGTCATCTGGATCCAATCAACCGACTACATTGAAAACAACACAGCAGCAGCAGTTGGCATTGATGGTCTTACCTGTATCCAATCGACCGACTGTGACAAACAACGCAGCATTTACTGTAATAAGTTCGAAATTGATGCTCTTGCCTGTATCCAATCGACCGAGCCGACGAGGGAGAGGGCTCTGCTCTGACTCTTGGGGTCTGTCACCTCCAGCGATGCCCCCACCACGGTGCCCTTCTCGTCCATGAGCTTGCCGTCATCCTTCACAACGAGACTCCTGTGACGACATATGTAGCGGAACATCGCAACAACTTACGCCGGTGTCGAACTAACGACGGCAAGCATACCGACATATCAACATAGGATGGCGCCAAAGCAACACCCGTGTTGACAACATAACATCCCACCAACATATAGGATGGCGTCATAGCAACGCCCGTGTTGACAACATAGCATACCATCCTACCAACATATAGGACAGCGTCAAAGCAACACCTGTTTGCACCAAGATATTTGTCCCCCCCCCCTGAGTACTTTCGCGACACAAAGGGGTTACCGGCCGGTGGTTGACAGCCTAGGACAGCATGCAGCAAGAAACAGCAGATCCCCCTCTGCTGGAACGCTGTCCTTGACAACGCGACAGCCAACGCTGTGACGACGAAGCGAACAACAAGAGCCACACTAGGGGACATGACTCGACTATCCCGCGACGAACACGAAAAACCACGATTCAAGTGGTTTCTCAAACGAACAGCTACATCGCTGGTGATCAAACAGCAAACAGCTCGCAGCATGTACCGTCCGTATCGGCGCCCCCCTGCGTCCGGACAAACAACCTAACCGATGGACTGGTCTACATAGTCCGTCAGCAAATAGTTCAGCAGAAGCACTTACTAGAAGAGTAGAAGTGCAACGCTAACCCAATGTTAGGGTTCGATGGGGCAACCGCGGAGGGTCTCGTGGTCCCTTGCCTTTTCGACGTCGACCTAAGTTTGCCAGTCGTATTGTCGTCGCGCAGTACTGTATCGGCCTGGTCTTGGAAGAGGGCCGACTCGCTGACGGCTCCGTCTGCCTTTGCCCCTCTCGCATCAAGCCACAGCTCCAACGGCCTGAAGAGTGATTAGAGGGGGGCGGGAGGGCGGGGCAGCCATGAGCCAAAAAAACATCTAGCTGCCCTCTTGACGGCTTATGATCGTAGAAGGATAGGTGGAGCGCCAAAGAGTCGGGGCGCTGCTTCATGTTGTCTTGTACACGCACAGAATGTTCTTTTCTCCGAAGAATGTTCTCGCTGTGATTCGTCTGTGAGTGGTGAGTGCAGCCCGCCCCAGGAAGCGCCCGGTAGGCAGAGGGCGCACCACCAACACTCATTACCAAATTCGATTCCACATGGAATTGAGCAACTTGTATGGAGGGATAGTCACCGTCCATGCGTGGCACTTGTCCGGCGTGTGCTGTGCGGCATCATCAACATCACCGACAAGAGCAGATCTGCGTACGCAACATGTAGAATTGATTCCTGTTGTCTCTGTACGCCTGTTTTCACACATCTGCAACATGCAAAGTACGACCCGTGTAGCGCATAAAAACCATGACAACAGCCACGAGCTGTAGCTTCATGGGGCATCCTTCCCTCTGCTGCTGGTGGTCGAGTCTTCAACGAGTCATTGCACAACTCGCCGCAGCTGTCACCAAGCTCGACACATGTTTCACTTGTCGTTACCTCGTGTGTAGATCCCTCCCACCTGCTCGTTCCAGTGGCCGCAGAAGCACAGCCAAGCGCACTATCAAACCGCCTCCTCTTGACAGCGTGCCGTACGGCTGCTGGATGGGAGAGTCCTGCAGCAGCTGCGGCGGTCCCGCATGTCCTGAGGCAAGCACGGCATGTACTCAGTACTGAGGTCGTCGGTGCGATACTTTGGGAAACGAAGCCCAGGACGCCATGATTTACCCCAGCAAGCGCCATCAGGACGCACGGTGTTGAAGAAGAGAGCATATGTGATCGTGGCCGGTCGCGCATTGTGTAGGGCAGAGCTGAGACGTGTCCAGAGCTGCAGTAGCGACACGCAAGTGCCCCCCCCCTCTCTGCTCTCTGCCCTACCAATTCCGCCGCTATCGGTAGTGATGGGGACGACCTTTCTACAGCAGCAACATCTGCGTCGCCGCTAAATGTGCCGGGCCGTTCCGAAAACGCACAACAACCAGCAAAGGCGGGCACGGCTCCCGGGACATGAGCAAATACGACAGCACACTGTTGACCCCAGCCACTTGCGTGGCGAGCGATGACGACATGACGATGTCGCAGGCGGGGGGGAGGCATCGGGGGAGATGGAGCGGCCGGTTTGGGAAGCGCTCCTCCCACAAAGACCTGCTGTTGACATCGAAAACTCCGCCTCCGGCGACAACAAGCAGCATCACCTCGGATCCCGCCGCTGACATCGACAAGAGGAGGGCGAAGACGTCGAACATCATCAAGCGTGCGGTACACAAGATAAACAAGAAGAGGAGGCGGTCCTTGCCTCCCTCTCAGTCACGGTCTTCTTCTTCGCGTGGTGCTGCTGTTAGCGAGGAACCTCCGAAGGTAAGGAAAAAGGCATATACTGAAATGATGAGTTCGCACGGTCTTCATACCGTCTGTGCGGGGACTAAAGCAACGCTGCGGCGTCGCTTTGACGCCACTACTGCCGTTGCTTGCCTCATCCAGGCGCCCCTGCTGTCACACGGCACAACAGAAGCCACGTACTTATTCGCAGACGTCATTTGGCACACGGCACAACAGAAGCCACGTACTTCTGCGCAGACGTCGTTTGGCGTTTAAATACCGAGCAGGCGACTCTCTCCGGTTGTCCTGGTAGATGCACAAGTCCAAGCAAAATGTATTTGCACGAAGTGCAACCAAGAAATTAGAAATTCCCGCATCACGGCTTGACCACGTTGCATGGATTCCGGCTTCACTTCCTTCCCCTCCCCCGCCACATGTGCCTCGATCCGCCCGGACTTGAGCGTTCATGATATACCACAGTCCCAGCTTAGTCTTGATGTCTTATGTAGACAAGACGGTTGCCACGAGTGGAGAAGCGGCGTTTTTTTTCCACTGCTTGACGCTGAACACTGAACAGGCCCAGCGTTCATTTCGCCGCCTCGAACCGCGAACCCGCCAAACCAGCTTTAGATATCGACGACAAAGAAGGTAGAAATGACTATTGATTGTTGTGATGCAGCAGTAGCCAAGTGCCATTACGACCTATTGCCCACCTGGCCACTTGGTTTCACAGCAGTCGGCGCAACCACAAGATGTTGGCGTTGCTCTATGTGGATTTTTTTATTGGTGCCTACCAATATTTACCCGTGCCGTGTGATGCCTTCAGCATACATCTCCAAGCGATGGACGAGGCACACGACAGCTTGAAAGTTTTTGCTCTCTCCTTTCCACACGCATCTGCTGAATATTCTGCACTTGGAAGTGGAAGTGCAGATTACAAGGTTCTGCCTAACCTTCTTCTGTGTAAGCCTTGCTGATATGCACATATCATATATATACTGAAAAGCCTTTACGGCGCCAACAGAGTGAATGGTACGAACATCAAGTATTGAACATCCCGCTTTTCAACCATCGCTCGAGGTTTCGCGCTTTGTACACAGCCTTGCCTCTCACACAATGCCCAGAAGTATGTGCGTGTAGCTGAAGATCCTGGATCCGGGGTCGCACAATGCTCGTGAGGTAGACAACATAGAGGCTTGACGTCTGAGACCCCTCCGTACATGCCGTAGGACCGTAGGAGACATACGGTATTCACACCCCCTGGACGGATTGCCAAACACTCGACTAAACACTCGACGATGACGAGAATGGAGAACGGAAATGATGATGGGGTTTCGGAAAGCTTCCGACGAGTTGGTTCCGATGCCGCCACTTTCGGCACCGCCTCTTTTCTGCTGTGGACGGAGTAATCGAGCTTTGAAAATCGGTCCGCGGCGGCGTGACAGCTTTCCTAGGCATCAACGTCTTACGCCATTGGTTAAGCCCTTTACTTCTGAGCATCCTGTCACGAAGTGAATGAAGACTTGCGGTTCAACTACTGTCCGCACTTCCAAAAGCGTCCGTTCACCGATTTTTGTCTGTGAAAACCACCGTCCGCCGTGCCCCCCCAACCGCGCACGCCAGATCGACGAGCTCGGGATCGATCCGCGGCTGCTAGAGAAGTGGAAGGCCCGGAAAGAGCTCAAGAAGCAAGGGGCGGTGGCGGGGGGAAGGCCGGTGTCGGCATCCAGAGGGACGGCGACGCTAGTCATGGTGGGGCTGTCATCTGGGTCGCTGGTGTGGACAAAGGAACGGATACGGACGTGGAGCCAAGCTCACGGGGTTCTGCTGGCGTTGTGCGTTCTGATTGCCGCGGTGGCTATCGCTTGCACCCTCATCTTGAGTCGATGTTCTTGACAAGGCAGGGGTTCTTTCTGTAGGCTTCGGATGGGGCCATGATTGACATCTTCACTTTCAAGAGCAAGACCCCTTCTATGGATGGGACGATATGGTTTCACGAAAGATACGCGATGCTTAGGAGGTGTGCTGTGCGGTACATGCTGTATTTGTCCTCGCGCAGAACCTGTTGGACTGTCTGTCGTGCGTGCGTGATTTCTCCATGTATGTACCAATACAACGTTAGGGTGACATTTCGTTATTGATTTTATGTTAGGAGTGTTTTTGTGAAAATGAACCAAGTCCCTGCCGATGCGATCAATCTCACGGGCGCTCTATCTACCTACTTCGTACCTCAGCATTTGTGTTGTACTTGTATTCTGCGGGAAGTACCGGGGCGGATTCGTTAGCGTGATAACCTATACGTGGGCCCTTCCACAAGATGCAGTTATGTTTTGCTTGTTGTGCCTTGATTATAAACCTGTGCTGTCACTGCTGCTATCTCCATCCAAGCACTTTTGCATTCGTATCATCTGAAATTGTGATCGTTTGAGAACTTTGTTTGCATATTTTTTCCTTCGTGAACGCTACCATATCATCGTGGGCTGTCTTCGTTCACTTTTTTGTGTTGAGATTTCCTGCCCTGTCTCTACCGCTTCCACGTCATCTGTTTTTTTTTCCCTTCCAAGGAGCGTACTTCCAGAGCCATGTGTCACTGATGTTGTGATGCGGGCGTTTCATTCTCGCTCGACATTTTCCCGGAGACCTTACGTGTTGAAGTTCATTAGGAATGAGTAGCAGACGTCGTCCCGGTAACGGAGTTTGTGGCTTGCGCTGGAGGCATGCTTGGGCTGGGTGCATCTGACCACCGCAAGTTTGGTCAGCCACCCTGGGCGAGGATAAAGCAAGTTGTAAATACGGGGTGTATGAGAGTTCCTGTTTTGTCTGTGAGACGCTGCAACGTGGTCTCAAACGATCAACCGATGTGTATCGAGACCGCTACGCATGAATTTTTCCAAAAGGGTCGAATGATGACATTCGTTTGGTTTCATTATCGGAACGACTTGACTTCAATGTATGATGAATGGACGAAGCTCTTGCTTGGCTCGTCGGCGAAGCATCTTATCCTTTGTCTTTTGTTGGTCCGGCCTGTGGAATTTTCCTCAGAATTTCCTGGAGAACAGGGCATTGTGTTGGTCGGCATGTGGTTTCCCCGAAGTTTGGCTTTGCTACGGTTGAAAGCCTCAGCGGGGTAATAACGGGAGTTAAAGGAAAGGTGATGGGAATCTACATCAGAAACGGCGTATGATTGAAAGCTTGCATCACTATAGATTGAAGGAAATGCCGGTCTGCCTAAGAGAAAGACGGAGAGAAGCCGTTATACCTAGTTGTGTCGCAGCGTGGCAGCCCTTACGTACATTGGGTTCACTCGCACATGACGGAGAGAAGGCTCTCTGAACATGACGGCGTTTGAGCGTGTCGTGCATGAAGCAATCGACAAACACCTGACTGACGCCCTGGCGCCATTAGAGGGGGTCACCCACTCTGCGCATATTTTTGCCGACAACCGTACGGGCATACTTCATGTACGAAACCTCAAGGAAGAAGGGGTATATTTTCGCGTGTTGACCCACCCGTGTTTTCCTTTTTGTGTGCGAGGTATTTACTTGTATTGCTTGTTGTTTACTCCCCTAGCGTCCCCTGTGCTGTGTACATGTTTCAGCAATCATTTCTGAGGTGAAATGGTTCTTCGTGGGTACACTGTTTCGCGAACAATGGCATCTTTTGCAGTGAATCGAATGAACTCTGTTTGAGTGAAAAGGCTATCATCGGCATTTATTTACGGCGTAAGAAGACCACATACATACATGCTGGGACGTCAAAATGCCAAAAGGGACCTCCACGACAACAATTTTACTTTGATGTTCATCCTGGCGAAACAGTATTGCGGCGGGATCCACAGACGGCGAGAAGGAACAGCGCAATGAACTCTCTCACCTCGTGTTCAGACGGGCCTCGAGGGGAGAGTTGGGTAGTCGTCGAATGAATCAAGTAAGTGCAGACAGCAGTCGTCCTTTATTGGAAAATGCGGAACAATTTTCGTCGCAAACATCTCCGGTTTTCCCCCCACTCACTGAAAAGACTCGACTCACCACATCCCGTTCGAACGTGGGTACATCTCGAATGGGTCAAGGGTACACGTGAAAAAAAATTCAAGACACATGGGCCTACTATTAATAATCGAAAATCGGAGTCATTTATTTGGCGGGGGGGGCAAATTTGGGGGGGGGGGGGGGGGGGGGGG